TTCTAGGTAAAACATTCATTTTAATTACTGAGATTCTACCTAACAGTGACAGTTGCAATTTGCTCCATCTTAATAAATCTTTTTTAATATCATTCCAGACTTTAACATAGTTATTTTGATATAACATACAATTCATATTAGTCAATATAACCCCCAGATATGCAATGTTTTTTTCAATTTTGAAGCCAGACTTTTTCATCAATATTTCTTGGTCTTTCATAGGCACATCCTTAACCAACATCTTTGTTTTTTGTCTGTTTACCTTAAGTCCAGCAAGTTCACCAAAATATTTCAATTTCTGCATTAAACATTCAATTCCATTTTGAGGTTCCTGTAAAATCAAAACTAAATCATCCGCAAAGGCTCTTAATTTAAAGACTTCTTTTTTTGATTTGTAAATCATTTATATTCACATCTTGTCTAATATCTCTATTTAACACTCCCAAGACTGAAATAAAAAGTAGAGGAGATAAGAGTCTTGCCCCCTTTAGAATCTCATGTGGTTTTGTAAGTTCATCATTAACAATAATACTTGCCTTTTGGGAAGTGTATATCGATTTAATCCCTTGTAGAAAATTCTCATCAAAATCCATATCCTCCAAAACTTTAAACAGGAACAACCAATTCAAATTATTAAAGGCTTTCTCAACATCCAAGAAAATCAGTGCTGGTTGCTTCTCATTATGTTGTTGTAAATATTCTATTATATCCAGTACAATTCTTACATTGTCTTTCAGTTGTCTTTTAGGTAAGAAGCCACATTGATCTTCATGTATAAAGTCTAATAAAATCTTTTTCAGTCTCTCTGCTAATATTGATGTGAAAAGCTTATAATCATTATTTAACAAAGAAATCGGTCTGTAATTTTTAGTCATAGTTGGATCTTGACCCTCTTTTGGCAATAACACTATATTAGCTTCCTTCCAAGTCTCTGGCATTGCTGAACCCCCTAAAATAGAGTTCATCAGCTGTTTAAGTGGTAATAGCAATTCATCTTCAAAACATTTATAATAAGAACTTGTTAATCCATCTGGTCCAGGGGCTTTCCCTATTTTAGCCTTTTTGATAGCTTCTGATATTTCAGAAGTAGTCACAGGATTATTCATAATTGGTTTTGAGATTGTGAGAGTTTTGGCAAATGTTGTCTTTTTAAATATGCATAGAACTCTTGTTTACTAATATAGGCTATAAATCTTGAAAGCCTGACAGGGTTTTCTGTTCCCTCCCTTTTATACCAAAGAGAGTCAAGGCGGGGCAATGCTAACTGGAGACCCTTTTTGTACTTTTTGTGGGAAACAGAAAAAAATGAGATTATGTTATGTGGATTTGATGATTGGAAATAATATGGGTTAATAGAAATAATGGAAGTTATGTTGTAAACTTAGAATAAAAGTTTGATGTATATTGTTACTTCTATCTGTTGTAAGGAGGGTCAGAAGTCAGTTCTTTTTTCTTTCTTTTCTTGATTTTCACACTTTTAATCTTGACTATCTCTTTTTTCTAATCTTTCTTTTTCTTTCTTAATATTAGTTTTTGATAGTTTTTACTATTTTTCTTTTAAAATTTAATGAAGTTACTAAAAAAAGAGAGTCAAGGCAGGGCAATCTTGAGTTTCTTTTTTACACTTTTCTGTTTTCCTGGGCTAAGTTCATGTTTTACTAATGGTTGCCCCATATTTTCTTTAGGCCCATCTGATAATGTGAGGTCACTTGCACCCAAAGTTCTCGACTTTAGTATCTTCAGCCAATTCCTCCTTTGTAATAAGGACCAAATCCAAGGAGCTTATCCCAAACTTTTGAAAGAGGAAATTATCACCAACACATTCAAGAATTTATTTGTCATTTAAATATGGACTATACACTTTTTACACTAATACTTACAAAGAGAATAAATGGATTTTTAACTGAACTAATACATTTTGACCAGACTGGATTTGTCCCAAAGCGATGCATGAGATACAATATCAGTTATATTTTGACTATTATTCATAATATAAATCAGAACAACAAGAAGGCAACCACAATCTTTCTTGATGTGGAGAAAGCTTTTGATAACTTGGAATGGCCTTTAATGCTTATGACTTTGAAAAAGATTTTTTTTTACATGGATAGAAAGTATTTATAAAGAAGATCATAGTAAATGATCTTTCTATCACAAAAATGTACCATAATGAAGGGGCCAAACCTTGCCTATCCTCTCTCTCCTTCCTTATTTTTATTGACATAAGGGAAAAAAGTTTTAGGAATTAAGTTAGCAACTTAAGAACATAAACTGAAATCATGTGCTGATGATATTGTACTTACAGTACATTAGCCAGAGGATTCTTTAGAACTTATAATGGGTTACATACAGCAGTAGGGTTCAGTGTTAGGATATTGGATCAATAAGGATAAAGTTGTAATGGGCTGTGTGAGTAATCTTCAGAAACAGGAGGAACAGCCACAGCCGAGACAACAGTCTGATAAACAAAATCTGAGTCCAAAGCAGGAATGTAATTTGAGTAAGCATCTCAGAGTTGACCCTCCCTAGTTCTCTGGAATGTAAAAAACAGGGAGGGGAGAGAGGCATTCAGATTCCATTACTGTAACTTTATAATAAAAGTAGTATTAGTATTCATAGTTTTGGTATCTTGGTCTGGATTACCTTGAATGGCTGACATCTTGACATGAAACTTAACTGAGGAAGAAAATCAATACTTGTATCAAATAATGGAGTTTAACAATACTGCTAAAAAAGTAAAATACTTGACACATTAAAAATCTCTAAAAATAATTATTCAAAGATCTGGAAAAATAACGATGGCAGATTTTTTTTTGATGAAGAAACTGTCTTGGTTAAGAAAGAATTGCAACCTTGAAAATGCATATAGATAGTCCTCGCTTACCGACCACAATTGGGACTGGCAGCTCCATCACTAAGCAATGTGATCATTAAGTGAAATGGCACATGACTGTACTGGACTTATGAAGTTGGTTCTGCTGCAGTCATTAAGCAAATCACTGTGGGTCATTAAGCATGACATTACATTATTGCAACTTGCAACTTTCTGCCGGCTTCCCCATTGACTTTGCTTGTCAGAAGCCAGGTGTGAAGGTCACGAATGGCAATCACATGACTGTGGGATACTGTGACCGTCATAAATATGCACTGGTTGCAAAGTGTCCAAATTGCAGGGGATGCTGCAACGGCCACAAATTCACAGAATGGTTGTAAACCTACTTTTTAGTGCTGTCATAACTTTGGACTTTAGTGCTGCTGAACAGGGCAGTTGGTAAGGGAGGACCACCTGTACTACCAAAGCTTAATTTTCTGTTCCGAATGATTCCAGTAAAAATTGAAAACAAGGCATTAAATGACTGTCATATACAAGTTAACATGTGTTACGTGGTCTAATAAAAGACCAAGGATTAAATTTAAGATACTACAGGATTTAAAAGAACAAGGTGGTCTGGCAGTCCCGGACTTTGGACTATATTATCAAGCTAGCTGTTTAACTTGAATTATAGATTGGATCATAGCACCCAATGGTTGGGTCACTTCCATTGATGGAGCAGCACTTCCAGATGGACTGCATAAATATATTTGGATTGATACAGAATAATTTGACGTTGTGTATTTGGGAGAATTAGTCTTCCAGTTGCAATCTCTCATCACAAGTACTTCATGGTCTCTTGAAGTTTCAGTTGCCATTTTCATCTACTTCTCCGACTGGTTTGGTGGTCAGCAAGTGATCCTTTCTGTTAGCTTGTCCTTTTATCAACACTCACATGATAATCAGTCCAATGCATATCTGTACCAGTAAATTCATTCCTGATAGACAACGCTACACCACCTTCTCTATTGTGTTGTCTCTTTTTCTGAAGCAAGCTGTTCCCATCAATCTCAATGTTCCCATCAGGTTTCTAGCATCCTTACTCTATCATTCTTGCCTTTGGGTCTCATGAAGTCTGGCTCATCATGCTGGTTTCCCATACTTTGTGCATTAGTATAGAGACATTTAAGATAATCGGTCAGCCTCCCTGTCTTCAGCCTCCCTTTTCCTCTAGGCCTGTATTTCCATTCTTTCTTTGTTAAACTAGTACTTTCCAAAACACGTAGCTTCGCTGCTGCATTCAATCCATTATTTGCCATAATGCGACTCACCAGCAGTCTTACGACTCCCACCCCTTTGATGCTACTTGAAGCCCTCCTGACTACATTATGCAGCCATTACCCAAAGATAAATTTTTACCTTCCCTCGGTGAGATTGATGTAGTGTAATTCATCTTCTCCCTGAAGTTTGTAATCTGTTGCTTGCAACCAGGAATGTACTTGCAATTTTTTCCTTTTCTCTTTTTGGACTTTTGCCTTCGACAGGAGAGAGGTATAGATGAGAACACTCCCTGGGCTCCAAGCCCCTTCACCTTCCTCTGCAAACCCAGGAAGTTGTTTATTGAGATTTATTGTTGTGCCTGGAGTGAAGCTAGACAGCTATGTGTGTCATCATCATCGTCATTTATTTCTTTATATTTTAAATTTAGTCACCGCCCATCTCATTCAAAGAAGAACTCTGGGAGGTTTATAATAAAACCACAATAAATACAGATTAAAGTACAATAAAACAATCTACAGAAATAAATAATGTCTTCCAAGGCACTCATGGTAAATAAAGGTTATTAACATATGGGAGTGTCTTCAGGGTACCAGCCACCCCCAGGATTGGTTTCCCCCCTTCACGCCCCACGCAAGTTGGCAGGGCCAGGTCTTCACTCCTTTCTGGAAGGCTGGGAGAGGTGGGGCCCACCTCACCTCTTGTGAGGGCAGAGGCAACGGCAGAGAAGGCTTTTCTCCTGGGCCCTGCCAGTCGACATTCTTTTGCAGACAGGGCCCGTAACATGCCTTCTCTGCCTGACCAGGTGGGATGGGTCAATGTAATGGTGATGAGATGGTCCCTCAGGTAGCCATGCTGTTTGTTTTTGTTTTGTTTTCTTTATCAGGTTCTCTTTTATATTTATTTCTAGATGGAGTTGTTTTGATAGACCCAGAATACCTGAAGGACAGGAAAGGTACTTTTCTTGTTTCTTGTTTTCTTTCTTTCTATCCTTTTGAGAAACTCTATCTGTCTGTCTGTGTCTGTCTATTTAGCAAATTTATATGGCCACCCATCTCACTGGACATGACTCTGGGCAGCATACAACTAACGAAACAATATCATAACCATTAAAATACTTAAAACAACAAACAAAATATAAATAAAAAGCAAGATTGCAGGAGAATAGCAGCCATCTAAGCACAATACTGATCTCGCAGGCCCCCCATGGAATCCCCAAGATTGCTGGAAGAAACACATGTTCAGGGCTTTCCAAAAGGCTAACAAGGATGTGGCTAACCTCACCTGGGGGGGATGATGTTCCAGAGGGTGGGAGCCACAGCAGAAAAGACATATCATCTGGGTCCCATCAGATGGAATTCTTTAGCAGACGGGACCCACAACATACTCTTCCTGCTGGACCTGATGAGATGGGTAGATGTAATCAGAAAGAGGCAGTCCCTCAAATAGCCTGGTCCCATGCCATGTAGGGCTTTAAAGGTCAAAACCAGCACCTTGAATTTTACCCAGAAGTAGACCAGCAGCCAGTGCAGCTCATGGAACAGAGGGGTAATGTGCGCCATCCTAGGGGCACACGTAACTGTCCGTGCAGCCCCACTCTGCACCAGTTGAAGCTTCCAGTTACCCTTCAAGGGCAGCCTCACACAGAGCACATTACAGTAATCCACTCTGGAGGTGACCAGGGCATGAGTGACTGTAAATAGAGCCTCATGGTCCAGGAAAGGGTGTAATTGTTGCACAATGTGAAGTTGGGCAAAGGGTCTCTTAGCCACAACTTTTACCTGCTCCTCACACCACATCTGCCTGGAGGAGTTCCAACCAATCAAGTACCAAAGATGGTAAAGTCTCAGATCCAGAAGGCCCCAAAATCTGGAACTATTCAGTTTTGTCAGGGTTCAGTTGAAGCCTGTTGCTCCCCATACAGACCCCCACAGCTTCCAGGCACTGGGACAAGACATCAACAGCATTGTCTAGTTCTCCAGAGGCAGAGATGTATAACTGGGTATCACCAACATACTGATGATACCTCACCCCATGGCAATGAATGATCTCACCCAGCGGCTTCACATAGATGTTAAATAAGAGTGGAGAGAGTACTGAATCATGTGGCACCCCACATAGTAGGGGCTGCAAGTGGGACCTCTCACTCCCAATCAACGCTGGTACAGGTCCCATAGGAAGGAAGAGAACCAGTGGAATACTGTGCTGCCCACTCCCACCCCATGGATCCTATCCAGAAGGATACCGTGGTCAATGGTACTGAAGGCCACTGAGAGGTCAAGGAGAGCAAGGACAGATGCACTGCCCCTGTCCCACTCCTGCCAGAGATCATTCAAAAGTGCGACCAATGCTATTTCCATTCAGGCCCAGGCCTGAATCCTGACTGAAAGGGGTCCAAATGCAGGTAGTCCTCGCTTTAACAACCATTCATTTAGCAACTGTTCGAAGTTATGAAGGCGCTGAAAAAAGTGCCTTACGGCCAGTCCTCTCATGACTGTTGCAGTGTCCCCGTGGTCATGCAATCGCAATTTGAGCACTTGGCAACTGTTGCACATTTACAACAGTCGCAGTGTCCCCTGGTCATGTGATTGGCATTTGCGACCTCCCAGCCAGCTTCTGACAAGCAAAGTCAATGGGGAAGCTGGCAGGAGGTTGCAAATCACAGTCACATGAGGTCTTGCTTAACGACCGTGGGCAATTTGTTTAATGACCACAACTGGGGCTGCTGGAACTCCCATCGCTAGGCAGGGTGGTCACATATTTTGCTTAATGACTGCTTCATTTAGCAATGGAGTGCTGGTCCTAATTAAGGTTGTTAAATGAGGACTATCTGTAATCCGCTTCATCCAGGGCCTGCTGAAGCTGCTGTGCAACCATCTTCTCCACAACCTTCCCTAGAAAAGGGAGGTTAGATATTGGATGAAAATTGTCCAGTATGGTGGGATCCTTCTTGAGGAGGGGGTGAACCAAAGCCTCCTTAAGGGGCAATGGAGCAATCCCCCCTCTCAAAACTGAATTAACCACCACTAGAACCCAATGATACAACATCGCCCAGGCAGCCTTCATTAGCCAGGAGGGGCATGGTTCTAAGGGGCAGGTGGCTGAGCTTGCAGTCATAAGGACCCTGTCTGCTCTGTTCTCAGTCCCAACCGGTTCAAACCATTCCTACTGGGCAAGACTGTGCCCCAGGCATCTCCACCTGACCTGTACCAAAACTGGCATCTAATGGAATGAATTTGAGTGATTTTGTCTGACAGATGATCTGCAAATTCTTCCATGCGGCCCTGTAGGTGAACTCCCAAGTCCTCCTTCCCCAGGAGGGCTTGAATCACCCTAAACAAGGCCACTGGGCAGATACCCATGGGTGCAATAAGGGTGAAGTATTGTCACTTTGCTGCCCTCACCTCCACCAGGTAGGCCTTAATAGTGTCTCTTGCCCATGTTTGATCGAGTTCATTCCTCACAGATGCCAGTGGCACTGTAGACATCACTTCTCCTGTTTCATCTCCCTCAGCTGTTCCATAAACCACAAACAGCAACAGGATCCACATGAGGGGAAAGGTTGCATGGGCACGATCCAATCCAAAGCCTCAGACGCCCTCTCATTCCAAGTGATGACCAAGGCCTCAGCTGAATTGTGGAGCAGACCATCAGGAATAACCCCCAGTTCGCTCTGGAACCCATCTGGGTCCATTAGCTGCTGGGAGCAGACCGATCTAATAGGTTCCACCTCCCTGTGGCAGGGAACAGCACCAGAGAATCTCATGGTCACCAGGTCATGATCTCATCATGGCAGGGGAGCTACAGAGAGCTCCCCCAACTCCAGGTCATGTTGCCACTGCTCTGACAGGAAAACCAGATCAGGTTTGCGATCACTGTCCTGTGTTGGGCTTTGAATGACATGGGATAGGCCCATGGCTTTAATGATGGCCATGAATTCCTGAGCCACCTCAGACCCTGCTCCCAGGGAAGGCAGACTGAAATCCCCCAGGATCATAAGCCTGGGGAATTCCACTGCCAAACCCAAGTCAGAGTCAAGGGGCTCAGGCAGGGAGGTTGCTATGCAGCAGGGAGGCTGGTACAGTAGCAACCGTCCCAACTGATCCCTAGAGCCCAACTTAGGGATCAAGTAAAAACTGGATTTTTAAGTTAAACATTTTGCAAATGCCTTAAAAACTGTTGTCTGTGCCTGTTTCTGAAATCATAGTATTCTTATCCTAATATTCCAGATGGGGAAAGTAAGGTTAGGAGACGACAGCTTGGCTGTAATTCCCCAGGAACTGCATGACTGTATTAATATTTTAATTAGCAAAATCCAGCTTAGAAGGGCTTCAAAAGCTGGAGCAGGTCAAGGCTCATCTGTTCCAGAATCCTGTTCTCACAGTCGCCAAATAATGCTTTGTGTATCCCAGAGAAGGAAATTGTCTCACTGTTTTCTTCGGCTGCTGTTATTCAGCAGCATGCTACTGTTGAACCAGGAAGTTCAGAAAGATTCAAAAATCTTTACCTGCTCCGCAAATACAATTTCTTTATGGCACTGAGTTTTGCTCTGTAAAGAAATTAAAAGACGTGAAAGAAAATATGGTTAAAATGTTGAGGGAGGGCCAGGTTTCAGCCTCAGCCAGTGGCTTGGGGCCAGTCTCTCTCTTTCAGCCCGACTTAGCCCACAGGGTTGTTGTGGTGGGATACAGCAGAGGAGAGGCTGCTGGGCTAGGCCAGCCCTGACTTGCACCCATGGATGCAAAAGACTCTTTGCCCTTGACCATTTGTGGCCCGTGGTGCAGATTTCAGGGTGAGCTTTGCTTTGTGAATCAACCTAGTTCTCTCCAGACTCCCTCCCTGCTATCAGTGAGGGGAATCCACAGTATCCAAATCTTCAAAAGTCGACGGCTTATGTAAGAAATTACTTTGTGACTTTTACTATGTCTGGTACTCCTGGTCTCCAGAATGAAATTAATTTGCTACCTTAATTAAGAAACTTTTTATTCTGAACTAACTACATTTTTTTTCTTTCCTCCATCTCTCCACCTAAACCTGCTTACAAGTGCTCTCTTGCTTTTCCCTCTGCTCTTTGTTCTTTCTTCCTTCTTCCTCTGACGGTCCAGTATATGTGACACTCACATGTGCATTCCGGTATGGTCGAGACGACCTGGATGTCATTGGGTTAACCTTCAGGAAGGACCTCTATGTCCTCACAACTCAGCTTTGTCCACCAGTGTCAGACCAAACTCCTAAGACCCTCACATCTTTACAGGACAAGTTAATGAAGAAGTTAGGAGACCATGCTTATCCTTTCACCTTTGAGGTATCCAGTGATTTGTGAGGCCTCCTCTCCTCTCCTCTCCTCTCCTCTCCTCTCCTCTCCTCTCCTCTCCTCTCCCCTCTCCTCTCCTCTCCTCTCCTCTCCTCTCCTCTCCTCTCCTCTCCTCTCCTCTCCTCTCCTCTCCTCTCCTCTCCTCTCCTCTCCTCTCCTCTCCTCTCCTCTCCTCTCCTCTCCTCTCCTCTCCTCTCCTCTCCTCTCCTCTCCTCTCCTCTCCTCTCCTCTCCTCTCCTCTCCTCTCCTCTCCTCTCCTCTCCTCTCCTCTCCTCTCCTCTCCTCTCCTCTCCTCTCCTCTCCTCTCCTCTCCTCTCCTCTCCTCTCCTCTCCTCTCCTCTCCTCTCCTCTCCTCTCCTCTCCTCTCCTCTCCTCTCCTCTCCTCTCCTCTCCTCTCCTCTCCTCTCCTCTCCTCTCCTCTCCTCTCCTCTCCTCTCCTCTCCTCTCCTCTCCTCTCCTCTCCTCTCCTCTCCTCCCCATCCCATGAAAGTGTTTCCTCTTCCTCCTCCTCCTCCTCCTCCTCCCTACAGTTATATTTACCTGTATATTCCTCTGGTAGATGAAGTCCAGAAGTCCAGTTTATCAGCAGATGATATAGTTAGAAAAGTATTGACATGTAAGTTTAATAAACTCTCAGATGAACTAGTTTGAAAAGGACAGGAAAGCATGCAGATTATCTGGGCTTCAGCTTTTCCCTACTTCCCGGTTTTTTCCTTTTGGTGCCTTTGAGTCAGTCTTGACTCCTGGCGACTGGACTTGTCCCTGCAGTTTTCTTGGCAAGATTTCAGAAGAGATTCATTATGTTCTCTGCCCATCACATGGGTGGGTATCAGGTCTACGATGTTCAAGCCCCAATACGGACAAATCTCTTGAAACCCAAAGCAGATTCAAAAAAGACCTCATTTATTGGAGGATACATGCAGCTGTAAGGCAAGCATTGCTAGAACTAAAGCCCATGTAATTTTCCCTCTACTTTTACCCCGCTTGCCCCCCCTTCAGTTTAGGCACCACTTTCGGTTCTCACAGGTGTGTGGCCTTGTGCATTCCAATTCCTGATAACGCGTCTTCTTCCTGGCCTTCAGTCTTCCTCAGGTTCTGTCCGCTTTCACTCCCCCTCACCAGTGGGAATGGCAGAATCAAAGCAAGCTAAGAAAACATGCCCTAAAAGTATACCATAGCATTTACTATACTAATAAAGTAGTCCTCTAGCTGAGACATATCTTGATTGCTGCAGATTCTGACAGTGGGTTTGCACGAATGCAGAGCATTGTTGTGGAGCATTCCAAAACGGAGCTTTTGGCGGGCTGCGCATCCCTGCCGTGTCCCTGCTTCTCATTCCTTCCATTTCTTTTCAACTGCCATAAGGGCACACAGCTTGTGAGGAGCACTGGTTCGTCCTCTGCTGAACGTCAGGGACCTTTCATGAGACCTATTTTGCAACCCGAGGCTAGGGTTTCATTGCCATTTGTGGGAATAAGTCCCCTCTCATGGGGAATTTTCAAAATGCCAAAATTTTGGTTAGGAGAGGGCCATCATGTGAATACTTGCTCCCTCCTGCCATTCTTTGGCATTTCTCTCTGCAGACATGACAAAATCAACTGTCTTGCCTAAAAGAACTTCCACATAATTATTCTGTGCCACTTCACGAACTGCTCCAGACATCTGTGACCTCAGGGCATTAGTTGTGTCTAGGCGCTGAGCAGACGTATTCACTGAAACCTCAAGGAAGCCGCTCTGCTTTTGGATGATGTGGTCCCCTGGAGTTGTGGGCAGCTTCTTTCCCCATTTACAGGAACTCTCACGTCACCTCTGGCAATGAAGTTCAGGCCTTTCGAGGAGAAAGGTAGCTTGATGCCTTTGCAGCTTCCTTTTATAGAAACTAGACCAGACAAAAGCACACAACGTGAAGTAAGGATGTGAAGGGAGGTGGTGGGGATTTTTGTTACTGCAAGACCCGTGGAAACATGGATGGGGCAATAGATACAGATCTTCCAAAATATAGAATATTGTCTGTGCAGTCTTCATGGTGGAAGGTCTTCCTTAGCTGCTACCTGTGTTCAGGGGCTTTCCCCCAAAGCTTCCCCCAAAGGCAGCAAGACCCCCAGGCCATCGAGGGCACTTGATGAAAGCATCTTTGTCTCTGCAGTTTGTCCAACGGTCCAATGATCCTAAAGTGCTTAGATCCATCTTGCACAGGTGGTGCTCACAGGAGTCCTCTGAAGCAGACTCTGATGGACAAGGCTTTGAACATACTTCTTCATACCCTCCACAGTTTTGGCTGCACCATTCCCATGGAGGATGGCATTGTTGCTTCTTGGATCATTGATGCTGAATTTAACTAACTGGTTGCTGATGTCCTTACTTCTGCATCATTTTTTCCATTTTTGGGGAAAGCCACAAGTGGATCAATTTGAGGTGCCAGTGTGTCCTGTATTGTAGTGACTTCATGATGTATTTCACATCTCTAGGTGATATATTCTGGCTGTCTCAGTAGTTGGGGCCCTATTTTACCTCTGTTTTCTAATGCCTCTTATTATACCAATATAAAAGCTTCCTGCTAACCTTCTCTCTCAGTCCTAAGGATCAGGTCCACTTTGGAACACTAGTTAATTGCCCAGTCAATTATCTAAAGAACAAAGGCTCAAACGGCACAGCCCCCCAGGTCAGTTAAAGACAAATTGATGCATTCTCTTAACATGCTATGCTTGGTAAGTTTTAACCAAGGGTTTTGCATAGTGTGAACTCAGAAAATGGGTTACTTCGGTAACCAGTTTACATGTTGGTTTCTTGGTTCACTGTTGCCTTCTTCCAGCATGTTTTTGTCAACTCCGTATTCTGGCCTACAGTCCTGAGATTTGCTAGTGGCTTTTTGAAATTAGCCAAGGTTGAAGAGGTTCTGCCACCTGCTGTGACCCAGATCTATTGTTCCTTCTTATGCTGGCCTTTATCTCCACATCAGTTAGAACAAGGTTTTCCCCATTTTCTTCCCAAATGGGAATGATTGGTAGAGGCCCTGCTACACTGTAGAGATGTACCAAGCCATTCACCAGCACGTGGAAGCTGTTGGCTGCTGTCAGTCCAAGGAGGACTTCCTCAATTCTGCTATCTTCCTATCAACCAGCACAGCTGTATGCCACATCTGCTGTTAGAGCACATCTTTCCATCCCAGAACAGAAAATGTGCTCTTTTGGAAGCAGATATGGGTATTCTGAAGTGAGAATACTTACTATGTAAGTACGAGGTTTGAAAAAAGATGCTATGTGAAGAACAGGTCTGCACAAATCACACAGTGGTGCAGTTTGAGATGCCAGGATTCATAGCAGAAGCCTTTCTTCCCAGTGCTGGAGCTTAAAAGCCATGGAAAGTGAGATGACTTAATGTTCTTGCCTTAGGTGGCAGCCCAGTAATTCTCCAGAAATGGGATGCAAAGAAGTGCAGGCATCTGTGGCTTCTAACATCATGCAGATCTAATGTCTGGAGGTTGTACCCATTGAATGGACATGTAGCTTGCCCAGAATGTACCAGGGTTTTTGTGGGGAGAAAGCTAGGGATAGTAAGCCAGCTTCCCTAAAATTCAGCTTCTCCACAAATGTCCACTGCTGGGTAGAGTTCCTTGATCCTTCCTTAATCTGATCATGGGTCCATTTCTTTCTCTGTTCCTAAGGTTAGTGCATGTATGAGCAGCCCACCGGCCATGTGTGGCATCAGAAGCTTCTAAGATGTGGCTGTGGGCTACCCCATCAACTCAAATTCCTCCTGCATTGTCTCCCAAATTCCTCTATATCCCTTACCCCAACTATGGTTGTGTTGCCTTGGAGATTACAGTTCTCTCTCCTCCCTCCATCCCCCAGTACCTTGCTGAACAGGTACTTCTTGGATTTTTAGTAAGGTAGAAACTGTTGGGGGTTGTTAAATGTTAATACAAAACTCAGGAGGAGGAGAGAGGATTCATTCCTACCTCATGGAGAGCCATGAGGAGAAGAGAAGGAAATGAGGGAAACAGGAAAAAAGGTGGGATCCAAGCCCCTCCCACACAAAGCAGCAAAGCTAGGCCTCCGTGGAGCCGCCCCTCCCTTTGTGCTTGTGTGAGACAGGCTTGGTCGAAACCCCACATTTTCCAACACCCCTTCTTTTCAACCTTGCATGTCTCCGTGTCCTACAATATTTAATTTTTCTCCTAGATCCTGATAACTGGTTCTCGACAACAGCTTTGTGAAGATGTCCGCTGTCATGTTTCCTGTGG